CAACTTAATTTCCCAGCCTCTTGTCCTCTGTTTTCTTCCGTTGCATTTTATGCAGATTTTTTTCAGTTCTATCATCCAGTTCGCTAATTTTTTTTTACTGTATCCAGTGTGTAGTAACACCCAATCACTATACTTATTTATCTTCTGGGAAGTCTTTTTGGCTCTTTATCAAATAAACTTTGGATTTCTTAAACATATATAACACTTTATATTCTACATTCATTGATTCCAATATCTAAAATATCTTTAGGCTTGGCTTTGTTCATCACTGCTTCGGCTGGCTCTTGCTTTCCGGTAGATTTTATAATGTCTTTACTGGGTGCTGCTTATTCTCCTCAGACGTGAGTGTGGAAGTCTGGAGAAGCCTGGAATGAAGACTAGTTTCTCCAGAGAGGATTTGTGTCTGCTTTCCTCAGTTTCCCGCGAGGCCCTACCCATTCAAACACGTTGAGATAAAGTCTCAGCTTCGGGTTTTTGGAACAGTACCAAGTCTGGAGTCAGGCCAGTTCATAGTTACGAACTTCCAGTGGCGAGAATACAGACATTTCAGAGGAGCATTTTCCTAGCAGGCCTCCGAGGAAGACATGGGAGTATCTCGATCGCCCAAGCACTAAGCCTGGCGTTCCTTTGGGACCCCACATTTCCCGGTAAGGAAAAGGGGCTTCAATTAGACCGGATCGAGGCTTTGTCCTCTGACTTCCGAGCCCACGGAGCTCCAAGCGGGCGGAATTGTCAGCAAAGGCCCCCACGGCTCAGGCTCCGTTTACGGCCGGCCTGCCTCACTGGGTCCTGCTTTCACTTAGTCCTTGGCCTGAACATTGTCTCCTTCCCAGGAAATTAATCCAGCATTTGAATTGCTTCCCTAGGAGTGGGTCCAGGTACCAAGCCTGCCCTGTTACAGAACCAGACGTTTCAAACAGCATCTGCAAGCTTAGCCTGACAGTAAATGTACACCAGCCCCTAGGTTCAAAGCTTAGAATGGGTTCTCTCTCTCTGCAAACACCCTTTATATTCTACCCAACATAATAAATTCTGTTGAGTGGATTCTGCCTTCAAATCCCTTATTTATTCTTTAATACTTGACTCTATTGCTATCACCCTACCTCTGGAGATGATCTCTTTTAAACTATGCCAGAGAAGGCTGTGGGGGAGCTCAAGGCCTGAACATAACTAGGCATTTCAGCTTTCTAAAATATGGAATTTGGTATTTGTTATGCTGGTCTCCCATTACAAAATCTTCATCATCTTCCCTTTCCTTAATAATGGGTGGAATCTCCAAGGCCATCTTTCCAGGATCGGAATCGACTTTGCCTATCAAACGATACACTTCAGTTCCCAGCGGGACTATCATTTCTTTGCCGACTGCACAACCCATGCGCCTCTGCTCACCGGCCTTGGGTGCGCAGTGCTTTCGTTCACAGCTGCCACTCCCTCGTGTGCAGCGTTCCCCCATCACTCTCAACATGGCCCCTCTGACCTCCCGGAGCCCTTCTGTGTGTAGTACACGAGTCACCTTGACTTCATAGGCAACATTCTTTAGTACTGTGAAGAATTCAATTTTTGCATTACATTTTTTAGTATTAGTCGAATATTTCATGAGGTTCTAAGTAAATTAATTATGATTCTAACCTAGGCTTGACTCCTCTGTGCTCCTTATTACAATCCATACAGCTCCCTCAGTATCAATCAATCCTTGTCGATTTGTATAGCAGGGAACTCAGACGCCATCAAATAAAGTAATACTTTAGATGGAACTGGCTTAGCTGAGCTTGGTTAGAAAGAAACAGAATCAGAGATGGCATGAAAACTTTATCCATTTAAGTACATTTCTTAGGAAATTCTGTCCAAAGAGACTTAGCAGCAGCTTCACAGCAAAGAAAGATAAACATGAACCAAACCTACTGCCGCAGAGCTGGTTCTGACCCCGCGTGACGCTGCGCAGGGTTTCTGAGGTGGCACATCATCCTCAGAGCCCAAGGCAGGGTTTCTCTTGGGTAGTGGTCGGTGGTGGGGCGCTGGGGGGTTTGAACAGGCCAAAGCCTATCCAACATCGCCACTTGCACTTCTTACACATCCGCTCCGCCAAGCTGCGTGCTCATTCTCTGAATCGCTAATCAAAGCACACAAAACCGGCCTCGAGAATGGCTTCACACCAACAGAAGTTCACCCTGGGGACCACGCTAAGGTTCAGTGAAAAGTACTACAAGCTTGGTTTCACAAATTGTTACTCAGTCATTGATAATAAATCAAATACGTTGTGCCAAATGTATTCTAACAAACAGCATTTCTAGATGTCAGTAACTGGGACACGCAGAGTTCACGTGGCTTCTATGAGGCAGAACCTATTTCTCTTCTTGTCTTTTTACTTCTAAACAAATAAAAATCACATCGAGTCTTGAATCATTTGTGAACCAGTTTTTAATAGAAAAATAAAGGAACTCTCTTGGGATGTAGCTATTTGGGAAACAGATGCTTAGTCCTAGATAAAATGAAGGAAGGCAAACTGGGAAATGTACACGACTCTTAGTATTTCCATCATAGGACTGCTTTTGTCTCTCTTACCTCTCCTGTCCGTCCGTCATCAACACAGACTGGCAGACTTCCTAGGGCAATGGAGAAATCCAGAAAGGGAAGGAAGCGCACGGAAGTGGAGGGGGACAGGCTAGAGGAGGTGGGCAGTGTCAGACATCATGCAGGAGAAAAGAAGGAATTGTCGCAGTTAGCCACTTTGTTCAAGAGGAACTACCACGGTCATTTCAAAGCTAGAGAGCTGAGAAGGGAAAAAAAAGGAAGATTTTTAACTTCTTTATAGCAAGGCCCTCTCAATAAGAAAGATGAGAGCGGCAGTTCTTTGGAAAACTTGCCTTCAGAGCAACGTACGCAGTTTAGCAGATAGATACATTAGCACACCGTACAACAGAACAAAAGATAAACAGATTTTCTCGTTAAAAATGAGAATAGAGGTATTATCATCAGGCTTTGGAAAAAGGACACGAGCAAATAAAAAGCCCAGAACTATCCTCTTAGAGGTAGTTAAAAGAATTATTTTATCTCTCTTCTCCAACAGAAGACAGACTATTCAACCTCATTGACTGTATATAAAAAAGATGAATGAAACATATGCCTTTAAGTATCCTTAAATGCTATGAAAAATGTTAATACGGTCATATTTAATAACAGTTCTAGAAGAGTTATTTAGACGGATGGGCTTTTCCCACATCAGGGACAATCTTCTGCACGTATTTGTATGGTGTGAAATACCTCATTTACCCCCACCTAATACCCCTCACCATCTAGACAGTGCCTGAAATTCCACCACTGGGAGAAAGGAGGCCGCCGGTTCACCAGAGCCCTGGCCATTTTGTATCTTCCTTGAAATGCACGATATTAGGAATGGCTAAAACTACTCACACTAGAAATGTTGACTGTGTTTCTGATTACTTTTTTCCATAACAAAGGTGTTTCATACAAATAGAAACCCGGATGGGTCAAGGGGCAATAAGAAGATATGGAACCCAAGAAAACACGATCAGTTTCACTTCCTTTTATATAAAAGCATTACAAGTTAAGTCCCCTGTATATGAGGTTTAGGCATTTCTTTCAAATTAGTGCTTAATTTCAATAAAAGTCCACTAAAGTCACAATATTTCCAAATAAGGCAAATGGTATTCTTATCATGGCTAAATTTTCTGTAAGGTGAAAGGCAGTTTATAAAAGAATGAATTCACTTTTTAAAAATTTAAGTGGCTTTATAAATTGATCACATTTGAATAGTATATCCAATTTATTAAATAAAATGCATACCTCATGTTCTTTTCTGCAAACTTTGGAAACATCATTCTTTGAAGATGCCTAAAAGCCAACAAATCTTTCCATTAATATATTATACACAGTACTCAAAACAAGACAAAAAAGAACACAAATTAATAAAGCATATATTAATTGCTGGTACAGAATTCTTTATCTCACCAAGGAAAACCTTATGCTAAAGTACTTAAAAGTTCATAAAAGACAACAAATTTCATGCAGTCTCTTTAAAACCAACCTCACCCCAGGATGGGCCCCGTGTGCTAGAACTCCACTCTAACCCTTATGGCTGGAATCTCACGGCTCCTTTCCTTATTTCAGAAGTGAGCTGACTTTGAAGGAGATGGAAATCAGAGGGCTTTTCTTAGTTGACTCCAACTGGGTGGCAAATGTTCTTGTGAAGCTTTGCCAGGACACTTACACTTTGCTTTTTCTTTGACCCTGCGGATCTAAGCTTTCATGTTGGACTTACTGAACTTCAGAAGAAGATTGCATGCAATGGAAGCAAGAACTAAAAAGGGGAAGGTTCCTAAGGCAGGTGGTTAACGAGAGTTTTCATATAAATTCTCTCAGTAAACTGAAGACATTTTCATCTCCTGTGCAGATGAGGGCACGGATGCTCAGAGAAATAGCCAACACGTTATTTGCCACATTGAAATAGCCACTTCTGGTGTATCACATGGCACAGCAAATCTGCCTGGGGCGACTGTCTTCCAAATGGCGTCAATCCCACTTAGAAAGGTACTTTCAGTCACCTCTGTTTAGCACGTGGGCCTGTGCCGTTCAGAATAGGCCCAATGACAAGGGGAGGGTGTGAAGCTGAATGGGCACACAACTGGTGGCTTGTTCATCGCAGTTCAAAACCTCTACAACTCAGCTTCATCTCCGTGCCTGGAGGAGAGGAGCAGGCGGTTAGGCGGCGTGCTGCCAGGTCCCAGGACAGCGGGCTGCGAGGTCCCAAACTTTCCCGCCCAGAGACCAGCCCCAAGAAGAAGAAACTACGATAGTTTCAGGCCTATCTAAATGATCATTTCTAATTTCCCGGTGAAGTCTGCCCTCCTCACTTGGGGCACGAGGAGCCGGGAGGGCCTTCCCCACAGCACCGAGGAGCCGCTATGGAAACATACGGCAGTGAGGGCGAACTCAGGAGCCTAGCCTGACGGGCCGAGCGTACCAAACCCACAAGAAGAAGTCGGAGGCCGCTGCAGGAGGCATGCTCACCTTAGAAGCCGAGGCAGGGGAGGAGGGACAAGAACATGCATAGGGCAGACTCACGATCAGAGAGGGCAAGATGACGACAAAACAAGCCAACTATGCCAGCTGCGGTCACCCAGACGTCGTCTACGTGTGTATGCCCACCCACTGGGGTCACTCACCACTGACTTGGCATGCTCAGGGGCAAAGTACAAAGGGTCCCGGATTCCTGTAACAGTCTTTCTTTGCGTGGCGGAGAGGAGGAAAGACAGAGAAACGATCAGAGAAGCCTGGGGGTCTTACATGCAGTCGCCACAACTAAACAGCAGCAGGGCTAAAGGAGATGTAACCTGTACGAGAAATGCTCAGTCTGCAGGGTCTGGGGATCACCTCGCCGACGAGGCTTCAATGCGGCGGGTACGGCTCAGGGCATGCGCGGCTCCAATCCCACCTGCATCCTCTCTCGCGAGCCTGACTGCCCAGTGTTACCTGCTTGCATGCCTGTCGACACTCCGAGGCAATAGACAGTTCACAGCAGCCTAAGCCAACCCAGCTGTCAGACTTCTTAAACACACCTTAAAAACAAAATGTCCAGATGTTGTTGGTCATAAGCACTGACAAACACAAACAGCATGCCAAGTTGGTTCACGGACACCACGAGAAGTCAAAGCAGGTGTCCACAGGGTAAGTGGCTCAGGCAGCGGGGTCTCAAACTCCGGAAGCCCTTCCTCCTGGTGGCACGACGGGTTAGGTGTTGGGCCGCTAACCACCAAGTCGGTGGTTCAAGTCCATCAGTTGCCCCTGTCCAGACTTAGGGAAGACCCCGTGTGGGGGTACTACGTGTCAAAACCGGCTCAAAGACAGCGGGTTCCCCCATTAGGTTCCTTGTTTGTTTTCTCTCTCCTTCTCCTATCCACCCTGGACTCTGGGCGGATCACTCTCACAGCAGGAGAGGTCACGAGAGGTCACGTCTTCATCAGAGGACATACAGGGCAAGGGAAGCGCGGGAGAGGCCTTCCTCGCCTCCACACGGAAGCACAGGCAAAGGTTCCAATTAACAAAGGTTAGCAAATTAGCAAAGGTTCCAATGTAACAAGCAAGCAAGCAAACAAAAACACAAGGATGGTTGTATTCCAAATATGAATACCAAATGGATAGGTAGTAACAGTGAACAACCCCAATCGTGTTTAAAAACAGATACTTAGCAAACAAAATAAGGAGTGTTTTCTGTGAGCTGGGTTCAGCTTTGACGGGTATACTGGACCAAGAAGCAAATGACCGTTCTGGTTCCATGTATGCGCAGCAGTGATTTTCCCAACCAAACCATGGCTCTACTAAGAGATGATGAAATTATAACACGTGTTCTAGTGTAGTTTCTGGACCCCTTGTGCAATCGTAAATGCCAATGAAGGACTCCTGGGGGACAATGAGGAGACACAAGTAATAATTGTGAAGAGCGAATAGACTTAAGCTTTTACGTGCTTTACAAAGTGCTTGCTACTGGGTTCCCGTAAAATACAGGGATCTGCAGATCCCCTATGGACTTATAACAATATCCCAGGGTTTCTCGAGGTCATAGGTAACCGAGTTCTCCATGTGAAACTAGCACCTGATCCCTCTTCTGCTGAAGAGCCAAAAACAAAGAGCAAACAAATGATACACAGATAAAGGCCTCAAAACAGAACTCTAAACCACCCAGATAGAAACCATCCCAACTGCCAAGATTGCTTAAAAACGTTTCATAGTATAAGCCGCTATGTTCCTGAATGCTGTAGGTCTATTGGCTCAGTGGCCTCTTCTCAGGAAAGAGAAAGTGATTCACCAAGCATTTCCATTTAGGGAGCCACTGCTATGTACAAGGCACTAGGTACTATGGAGGCTAAGAAATGGATACCCTCTATAACCTGTCCCGTTGTGGAGGTCACAGTTTGGCAGTGATGGCACCTGAGAGAGAGATGCTAGGGCACTAAGGAGAGGGACAACTGGAAGAAGGGACATGCCAGGAAGACAAATAGTCCACTTCGTTTGAAGTGCAAACTTTAAACAGCGTGACAAGCTCTTAGAATTCAGGCATCTAAGCTCTATGCATTCTTCAAGGGGCGGCTCTAGCGAAGGCTGGTGAACGTCCTTCAGCAGCAGGCTCGGGAGTCTGGGCTTTGTTCTGGTGTCGCTCACACAAGGGGCAGCCAGGAGTCTGGTTTGGGATTTGTCGACTTCAGATGCCACCTGGATGCAGAGTCCCATGGAGAGAGAGCTAGATAGAAGCCAGGGGAAATGATCTGGATAGAAGAGTGACCTTCCTTCTCGGAGGTAACTTGTTAATAGTTCTAGGAAGGGATGAGACTGCAGGGTGAAGCAGAGAGAGAATGGATGGAGAGTATGGCATGCTGGGACGAGGCACACAGAAATGACCCATCCTGATGGGGCTAAGAGGAGAAATGTTAAGAGTATGTACGAAGAAAAAGCTGTAACTTATAGAATCCAAGAGAACTTGATGTTTCAAGGAGTGGCTGCAGTAGAATGCAAGCAGTGGCGAAGAGTACCAAGCCCAGGGCTCCGTGAGTGAGGATGAAGGGCAGGCCTGACAACCTCGGTGCCCGAGGAAGGAGACGACAGAAACACTCGAGGGGACACGCTGGTACAGGACCTCTGGTACAGATTTTGCGATCACAAAATAGGTTTTTAAAAATCAAGTGCTAAACATTCAACTGTTATTGCTTACCTGGCAAAGATGAATTCATACAACTCCAAATTTCAACCTAAAATAAAAATCACCAAGAGTTTTATGTAGGCTACCAATTCCTCACCCTAACAATTAATTTCTAGAGAAATGCTGTATGGCTTAGCTGACGTATGGCTGTGTTTACAGTCAGGGTTCTAGGACTAAGCACACATTGTATTTTCCAGGGGGGTACGAAGTGGAGATACAAAGAGAGTTGTCCCCTTCCATCCTTGAGTGCTCAGGAGAGTCTGGTCACTCAGGATGCTTCCTGGAAGCTCAGTTTACAAGGAGGCAGACCAAAGCACCCGAACTGTTTGCTGACCAGCCTCCTGCTTCGGCTCCTGCCCCCCAGTGCCAGTCAACCCATCAGAAGAGGTTCTCGCATGCAAGGTCAGATTCTCTTAGTCTAAGAAATTGAGGACATGTCCAACAGGCGCCCAAGTGTTTGAGCCACTTTAAGTTCCATGGTTCAGACTAACCAGGAAGGTATCTGTCTCCATGCCACTGCGTCAATGCACACGCACAGCGACCCCCACTGTGGGGTTTCGGAGACGGTGACTGTTCACGGGAGCAGAAAGCCCAGTGTTTCTCCCTTGGAGCAGCTGATGGTTTGGAACTGCCGACAGGCGGATCGCAGCCCAACGAGTAACCACTACATCAGCCGGGCTCCATAATACATCTATAGTATGCAGGTCAAAGAGAAGCCACCCACATCCCAAGTTCAAAGCAAATGTAAGATTTAGTTATCATAATTTCATAAAACTGGTCTCAATATAATAAAAATTAAACTCCCCAAACTCCAGGTAAAATATTATAATGAAACTTAAAGCCTAAAATACATTTATGCCCATTTTTGCTCCTAGATCACAGGATAATTAATAAAGATGAAAAACCATAGTCTATCTAGCAATTTTTGTTAAGATCTTTAAAAAATATCCAGTTAAATCTACCATTTTACTTTGACCACAAGCCACCCCCCCAACCCCACCAAACATTTCAAATCCTGTTAAATCTCTAAGTAACTTATTAGATGGGCTCATCTAGACAAAAGTTCCCACAGTTAAATTCCATAAGACCTACCATTGTTTCTGGACAATAATCTGGAGCTCGCTGCAGCAGATGTTTTAAACGGGATTCACTTTTTGACGAGAAAATCTATATAAAAAAATTGCAGTATTTTTTAAGAGAAAAGATAAGGCTCACTGTACTTTATATGTATAGTTTGGTAAATAATCAAGAAAGTTCAAATTCAGTAAGTGTAGACCCTTTCCTAACGATCTAAAATGAAAAAAACCAGCTACCAACTTGTTAGAGAGGAGAGAGAGCGAGGCGAGAGCGAGAGCGTGAGAGCGAGAGAGCGCGAGAGAGAGAGAGAGAGAGAGAGAGAGCGAGAAGGCACAGAAAAGAAAAAGAGATACATGTATCCATACATTGCTCTTCATCATCTAATTATATGGAAATTGACTATGCCCTTGATCTTGGAAAGAACACAGAACAATAGCATATTTCTTCTCCAAAAAACAGACACAAAGCTATTTTTGCTACAGATGACTAGGTTCACATACCAGGCTAAACAGCTCACTTCCAAATAAGACTTTAATTAATGCAGTCACAATTTGGAACCTTACAAAATTATAAACCTCTATGTACATCCGACAGATCTTCAAGGTAACCTGCAAATAGCCGAGACTATGCCATCCGTGAATGCTAAGGGTAACAAAAAAGGGTTTATTTCCAATTAGTTTATCTAGTAATCATTTTTCATCCAAATCACCCCCAAGAATGAAGAACTGAGAAGAGCACTAAGACGGACAATCTGCAACCCGAGTAGTGGCACGGTGGGTTAAGCAGGGCTGCTAACTACGAGGTCGGTGGCTCAGCCCCGCCAGCTCCTCCATGGGCGGAGGATGAGGCTGGTGCTCCCGTCACAACCTACGGGCTTGTTCTGCTCTGTCCTAGAATCGACTAGAAGGCACTGGGTTTAATGAATTAATGCATTTTGAAAATTGTCAGCAATGGCTACTAATATTAGAAAAAGAGACAATGCCACTCATGAGAAAGCCCTGCCCACCCGGACACATTGTACCTGCATCTAATCAGCCTCTGGATCTCATAAAGTATTACTAGGCAGGTGTGCTTAAGTCTAAATCCATTGAAATTAAGTTAAAAATTTCGTCCCTCCGCCTCTTTGGTCTCATTTCAATAGACACTTCTGCCCGGCGGCTCCCATACCGGGCAGTCCAGGCACAGGGCCATCACTGGACAGTGTTGTGCTGGACGGGTGGGCTCTCCGTCTCAGCACCGAGTGCCAGGGAACACACAGGCGAAAGGAATGGGCTAAATGACACCGCAGGATACAAACAAGGAGATTCAGAAACGACACAGGATGCACAATCAGATCTCTTCATCGAACTGTACGAAAGGGTCTCCAGACCAAACTTAAAAGGCATATAGCCAATTATAGTGCATCTACTCCACTTGCATCTTGATTAAAACGAACAATTAAGAAGTTTGAAAATGATCAGGTGTTGAACATCACATTTTCTAAGGAGTGATAATAGTATTGCAATTTTAAAAATGAGCCCTTATAGCTTGTACATAATACCATTTAAAACCAAATGTGTTACCATTGTGCCAATTCAGACTCATGGGGATGGTTGTATTGGGTCATCGGTTCAAAACCACTAGCCACTTCACAAGAGAAAGATGAGGCTTTCTACTCCCTTAAAGAGTTACAGTCTCAGAAGCTCGCAGGCGCAGTTCTACCCTGTCCTGTAGGGTGGCTAAGAGTAGGAACCAACTTGATGGCAGTGAGTTTGATTTTAATCGTTACAAAAACAGCCCAGCACACCTTCTACTGCAGAGTGGCTAACGGGCTCGAAACACTGACTCTGAGGTTGGTAGTCAAATGCTGAGCCACTGTGCCACTAAACTCCAAACCAAGTTCACCGACCTTGAGTCCATTCAGAAGGACCCAATTCAGGATTTTCAAAATGGTAAACCTTTTTTTTTTAAAGATCATTTTATTGGGCACTCTTCTAACAATCCATACAGCAATGTGTCAAGCATATTGGTACATAGGCTGCCACCATTATTTTCTGAACATTTACTTTCTGTTTGAGCTACTGGTATCAGCTCCTCCTCTCCCTCCCTCCCCCTACCATCCCACCCTTGTGAACCCTTGTTAAATTATAAATTATTATCATTTTCATGTCTTACACAAACCCGTCTTCCTTCACCCACGGTTATGTGTCCTTCCTCCCCTTTCCCCTCCTGGTATCGCTATTCCCATTTTTGTTCCTGAAGGGTTTCTCTGACCTGGATTCCGTGTGTCATGAGCTCTTATCTATACCTGTGCACATGCTCTGGTCTAGCCAGAACTGAAAGGTAGGACTGGGGTCATGATAGGGGGGGGTGAGGTAGCCTCAAAGAATCAGAGGGATATTGTGTGTTTCATCGGTGCTATACTGCACCAAGAATGGTAAGTCTTTATGGGAGCAGACAGCCTCATCCTTCTCCCATGGAGTAGCTGGTGGATTTGAACCACCGACCTGAAGGTTAGCAGTCCAATGTTTGATCCTCAGCACCTCGAGGGCTCCTTGCCATGCTACTGGCCTGCCTTAATTTAGCATACAAGCTAAAAGCAAATAAATCCAACAGAATTTGCTTCAACATAAACATTTGCCTGTTATTAAAACTTTTTAGACATAACCAAACAGACCTGGAGTAGTCTGGGGGCTCAGGACCATGGCTAAGGGTGGGGTGGAGGACAGCAAGGTCAACTGGAGCAACCTAGTCCACAAAGACAGTGTGCTACAACGTGCCTTGGTGAGTGAGTGCCAACTGAGGTCTGAAGAGCTTGTGCACGCCCTGTACATGCCTGATGGTTTCTCTCACAGAGCTCGAGTTTGCGGCTCTACTGTACATTTGCAGAAAACAATTTGCAATAGCAACTGTAAACTGCACTATGTCATTGCATTCTCTAGCAGCTACTTAGGCAAACTGAATCATCATCATATCTTATCATCAGAGAATATCTTGAAAAATCTTTCCAAGTCCAAAATATTACTTGAGAGCCCTTACAATTCTAATTAGGTAGCTTTCTCAGTTTGAAGAAATAGTGAAAACAAATGTAGATTATCACTTCAAAACTTCTCCAAAAGATAACTGGGGTCATTACTTCTCAAGCTTTAGGGATAGAATTACAACCTAGATGATGAAAGAAAGGTAGCCTTTATGAACAGGTAGTGACGGTCTCAGTAGGACTTGCCTAGCAAAACTTAATCACAAAAGTCCAAAGCTATAGAAAATTTCAAGAAGAAAATGAACACCCCCCCCCCATTCTCTTTCTAGATAAACATTAAATTTTATAACATTTGCTTTAATTTTCCCTCTCTTTATATTATACACTATTATTAATATTGCTTTAATGGTCCATTTTAGAAACCATTACTGACTTCTCGATCATTCTTAATGTATGAGCACATATCTCTTGAGGACAAAGTCACCATCATGCCCAACGAGAAGACGAAAATTAAACTCAGGATCACAGTATGGTTATAGTTCTATTGGTCTAGATTCAAATTTCATCAATTTATCCCAATAATGTCCCTTACAGCAATTTAATTTTTTTTTTAATTCTAGGATATAGCAGAGGGTCATACATTGCATTTAGCTGTCCTGTCTCCTCCGTCTCTTTTAGTCTGGACCTGTTTCTCAGCTGTGTTCTTATCACACTGATAGGTTTGAATTTGAGGAATATCCCTTGACGGGGCTTGCTTCCTTATAATTCAGATTGTGCATTTGGGGCAGGAAACCTACATCAGTGATCTTCGCTCTTCAGTGTTTCATGTCAACAGACACATCAACTTGTCCCCTTATTGGTGATGTGAAATCTGATCACTGCCAACAGATTCCTCTAAAGCAGGGGTGGGGAACATCTGGTCCCACAGGCCACATAAGGACTTTGAAACTGTCACTACCAGTTCACATCACACTCCACCAGGGAGAAACAGTCCCAGCCATCACAAGGCGGATGAAGTAATTAAATATTTGACCAAATATAAACCAAAAAAGCCCCAGCTCACTGCCATCGAGTGGGTTCTGACTCACAAGGCAGAACTGCCCCTGCAGGTTTCTGAGATGAAGCCTGTCTTTCTCCCATGGAGCATCTAGAGGTTTAGAACTACTGCTGACCTTGATGCTTTGTATGGCCTGAGAGTGATGCTATAAATAGACAAATGGCCCTTGGCAGAAAAAGGTTCACTTCCCCTCCTCTAGAACAATGGCACCTTACAAGCAATGGCACAAATAATAGCTTTCACAGCTCTGATGCAAGCTTACCTGCTCACACACATCCCGACACATTTGGTTGTCCTTGGAATGATCACAGCACAATACACCTAGAGGGAAAAACAAACACCGGTTGTCCCACTGTTGAATAAACAAGAGGACTCACTTTATGTGGGTGGTCACTCAACAGGACACCAATCAGCCCCTTTAACACCAAACCCACACCGTTCTGAGGAACAGCGGCCCCGAAGGCTCGCATCTGTGCCTCAATAGGAGCTACATGCTCCAAGTCCAAATACATCGAGAAGCAAAGGATTAACCAAGTTAAACCGACTGACTCCTTTATCACAGGACTTCTCACAAAGCCTTTAGTACATGCATGTACCTTATGACTTTTCTATATAGAGATCTTATAAACAGATTTCTCAGCACACAAAACACTTTTTTTTGGTTGCAAATCCTTTATGAACATTTCACAAACACAAGCTTGAGGAAAATCAAATAGAGAAAAGCAGAAAGGGCGCCAGCTTCCCAAGCTGTGAGGAATTACGGTTCTGGCTCTGGAGATGGTCTAGCCGTGGGGCCGGCGGGCAGAGGGCCCTGGGTTGGACAGGGGCTGGCTGGGACTGGCAAGGCACACTGGTGAGTGAAGGGCGAGGGTGGCATCCCAGGCAGTGATGACGAAGCCATCTAGTATGCCCGCACACAAATTACAGAGAAGCAGAGCGCTTCCTGACTGGAGATAGGAGTGGTCCTCAGGAGAAAGGAATTATGGACACATGGGCCGAGCAGAAATCCTCTTTCGACCGCCCATTTGGGATTTACAATGGGAACTGGGCCTCGTTTCTCCAACAGAAATGACAGGATCTATGTTAGTGGCATGTGACCATCATTTGGTTTCATGAAGGAATATTGTGGGTTTGGTTTTTGGGTACGATTTCTAGGGTGCTTTGAAGTCCTAAGCATGGGACTCGGAAAATTCTGGAGAATGTCTAACATTTTTGCTGTTTTGGAAGGAAAAACTGGTCTCTCTATTCTAAGGCCGCAGTTAGTGTCTAAGAAATTCCTACTGGGAGGAGGGTCCAGACACTGCCAAGGCTCCCTCCTCACCCTCCTCCCCTGACAGCACACCAGGCCGGCTCATTAGAATGGGGAGGGCGGGCAGGGGAAACAAGGCTCTCCCGGGGCCACTTGGATGTGCTTTTGAAGTATTCTAGAAGTTGGCACTTTCTACTACCCTCTCACACAAAGGTCAGATGAGAGAAAAATATCCCGCTGATAATTCAGGATAACATCTGGTTCCAATAAACACAGGCTTAGCAGAAAGTAAACGAATAGGCGGATGAGCATCTGAGGTGGGCCTTGTGATTTTGGGGAAACAGTTTCTTGGGACAGACGTCTGTTTAAAACAGAAGCACACACATGTTGGGATTTAAAACACCAATAATAAATAATGAAGGTATTATTAAAAAATCTCTATTTAAAAGCCACTTTTTTCCTATTACTGTAAAGGTCAAATCTGTAATGGAGTGACCGCCCCCCGCCCCCCCGAATTTTAAAATAATTTCTTTTTTTTTCTATTAAAAATTCAGAAGAAAGGGAAAATGATCTTTCTCCCATTATGTTGACATTCTGTGAGGCTGAGGTCAGGCATGGCCCACCCACACAGCACTCTACTTTTCCGATGGGTTTGCTAATTTCGTTGCAATGACCACAGAGAAATCACAGCCCATACTCAGGATTATGATGTTTATTAAGGAAGCTAGCAGGCCACAAATACTCAGGATACAATTATCCAGATAGGACAGCTTCTTCTCAGTGGAGCCTGAAGGCAGACATCTCTTTGATCTCTGGCCTCTCAGCCACATGGCCCACTGGTCTCTACCCTGATTGTGCAATGTTACAAAGCTCTTGTAGGGCTGCCAATAAGTGCCCAAGGAGCATGCCTCAGCTTAAAGGGGCCCAGCTCCAGCTGACCATGGTCGGCAAAACCGGCTCCCCTAAATAAATGCCTGGAGGCAGCTCGCTCCACACGCCAGCCTCCCTCTGGAGGCACTCCTCTGACTCGCTGGGAGTGCTGGCCCATCCACCGCTGTTTGCTGCTCAGGCTGCTCCTCTGGTGTCAGAGTTGTCTCCTGGATCGAGGAAGGTGCTCAGGGTCCCAAGGATGTGTTCCACTTCTGGCTCCTCTCTCGCCCCGCTGGTAGTGAGCTCCTCCCATTCCTGCCTTGGAGGCGGCTCGTTTTACATCCAACAGAGTGGCCATCATAATCAATCCCGTCAACAGTCACTCCAAACGGAATCCGATCAGAGTCTGACTCTAAGCTCCAGGCTGTTTGGTGGGGACAAGAAAGGCTCTGGCCAGAGGAGCCACTGTTAAATATTTCACTGCACTGCACTGTGACAACCTCTGTTGACATGATGCATACTAGATTTCCTTCTAGCAGTTCCTTCTCCCCCTGATCTTACTGACAATTTGGCTTTAAAGAGGTCAGTAGGACTCTCCTGGTAACAAGTCTTCCTTCCCTGCCTACTCATTCTCTGTGGTGATACCTCTCCCTCATCCACTTCCCTAGAGAGCGCTGCTACCTTCCACGAACACGCTAGGGGGCCTCTGCTCAACATTTTCCACATCCTCTTTCTTTCTTCCCCCCAGAGTTTAGACTCCTTTATTAAAATTAAAATGTTCCAATCTTGCTATAAGATGACACAGCTTCTATACCTGGGGACAGAAACTCTGAAAAGAACTAAAGCTGGAGTTTTTCTTCCTGTCTTTATTAATCATTTTATTGGGGGCTCTTACAGATCCAATAGCAATTCATCATTCAATTGTATTCAGCACATCTGTACATGTGTTGCCATCATCATTTCCAAAACATTTTCTTTCTACTTGAGCCCTTGGTATCAGCTCCTCATTTTTCTCCTTCCTGCCCATTCCCTGTTTCTTAACTTCAGCCATAATAACATTAGTACACATTTTTCTTCCTTTGCAAAAACACTTCTTAGCATCTTTAACACTCTGCTTCCATTAGTGCATAAGCCTTCATTAAGGATTACTGTGGGAGGGAAGAATTCTAGTGCAACTAACATGGCAATGAAAGGTTTTAATAGTTTTTAGAGCAATTAAAATATATTAATTGGGTCATTTAACTATTACAGTTCAAGAATGGTTTATTATCCAAGGCCTATATGTTTTTCACAGGACACGACAATGAATTCTATAAATGTCCTGTTTTCATAATTTGATTCTGTTATGTTCCTCAACAAAAACAATGGAAGACTCACCTTATTCTCAAAAATGAAATGTAACACATAAAAAGTGAAGTTCAAAATAAAACTTGAGATGCTGACAACAAGGCAGCTCAGGTGGTATTTTTATTATGTAAGGGTGGAGTGCCATGTCTTGCACGGTTATTCCAAGAATCGATAATCGTAAGACTAATAAAAACCAAAAATTGATCACTAGAGACTCTACGTGCCAAGCTGAACAAGGCATTTACGTAGCCCAGGAAAAGTAGACTTCTCTAATAATTAGAAACATCAAGGTCTGGCCGGCTGGCTTGGGCCACGTGTGCACCCGAGAGGCAGGAAACGCGTGCTCCAGCCACACACAGAAAAGTGCGACTGCCAAAAGACCGACGAGCATTTAAAGAACTAATACACACCCTAACCTAAAAATAAGAAATTGTCATAGAATTATAGAATTTTGAAGATTATAGGGATTTTGCCACAAAAGCTTCCTCCAAACTGTAATTCAATTTTGTTAATGAAAAGCCCTTCTTGTTTTCTTTTCTAAAAAAAAATACAGATTCTTCTAGTTAATCTCTCAAAAGAATTACTGAAATAAAAATATATACTAAGGGAAAAGAGCTAAATCTGAGCCTATTCTGGGAAAAAAATCATTCTAAATCAAAAAAACATATATGTTAAAAATCTTCGTCATGTTTTTATTACTGATGTGAAATCTCATTTTAAAATCAAATTTAATGAAAACATCTTCATTAAAGTGATTGCCATTTTTCAACTCTGTATATGAGGAAACAAGAAATCACAGAACCCAGGTGGCACAGTGTGTTAAGCAATGGGTTGTCAACTGCTAGGCCAGTGGTTCAAACCCACCAGCTGTACTTTGAGAGAAAGATGAGGCTATCTGCTCATGAAGAGTCAGAATGGACCAGAGGGCAGCAGGTGTGAGGAGAACTCACCCTCACCCACTCGCACAGTGCTCTATGCTATCATCTGGTTTGGTTATTTCATAACACACTTATCACTGTCCGAGAACACTGCTTTTGTTTATTGTGTATTTTCTCTGCACTAGAATGTAAGCTTATTATTATTATTTATTTTTGTGAACAGTAACCCTGAAAGTACAACAGTAAGCATTCGGTATTTCTTAAATAAACAAACCTTTAAGTTTGTTTTACTTAAAAAAACAAAACAGCACATTTGTAATAAATCAAAAGTCCCTGGACGATGTCAATGGTTAGCAAAAGGCTGGCTGTTTGCACCTGTCCCGAGGCTCCCTGGCACCGGCCAGGTGACCTGCGGTGTCAAGGTCCCCTCTTTGCTACTGCCCCACTCACTTCATGCACTTTCACGGCCATCGAGTCAGTTTCAGCACAGCGACCCTGTAGGACACAAGAGAACTGCCCCTCTGAGGTCTTGAGACTGTATATCTTTATGGGAGTAGAGAGCCTCATCTCTCTCTGTGGAGCAGCTAGTGGTTTTGAACTGCTGACCTTGCAGTGGGTAGCCTAATGTGTAACCCACTAGGCCAACAGGGCTCCTACTTTCTTCCAGAAGGGGCAAATTTGTCTTGGAAGAAGTGCGGCCAGAATGCTCCTTAGACGTGAGGGTGGCAAGACTTCCCCTCACATCCTTTGGACAGGTGACCAGTGGAAACCATTATGCTTGATAAAGGGCATCAGGGCTCCTTGATAAAGGACAGGGTCAGGGGAAAAGAGGAAGACCCACAAGGAGATGGGGTGCCACAGTGGCTGCAACAGTGGGGTCCACTATAATAACAACGGTTGTGACGATGGCGCAGTTCCAGGCAGAGTTTCCCTTTGCTATACCTAATGTTGGTGTGGGTGGGAACCGACAGACCGGCGCTTACAACAGTGAAGAATGTCTAAACCAAGGGATGAAGCACAGGAAGGTAGGGCAGCAAACCAGGAGGAACTGTCATGGCTCGTCTGTCATCAGTCCTCCATCTCTTAACAAGGTGGGCCAAGATACTTCTATGGGACGAGAATCTGTTTCTTATTAGTCATGTGCTACATATATATTCGGGGTCCTATA